GATCAGGAAAGTGCTAAACTACAACTCAAACATCCCGCAGTACATAAAAGAAAACATATTCATCATGGAATATAAAAAGATCGAGAACAGAACAAGCTCAATACCGACGAAGGAAAAACATCTCAACGAACTACGAACAAAATTCCTACTAAACGGCTATCCAAAACGAATGCTAAACAACTGGGAAAGAAAAATGAACAACAAAAGGCTGGTAAATAAACAAAACGAAAGAAACACCGTAAGATACATACCCTTCCCTTACATCCGTGGCTTCTTTGAACAAGTAAACAAAAGCTTTGAAAAAATAGATATAAAGCTAGCCCCAACCTATAACAACCTGCAAAAAAGAATCCGGAAGACTGTACCCGACAGAAATAAACAACCAGACAAATACAGCACTACCGAAGTCGTCTATAAAATACCTTGCACATGCGAACCCCCAAAAGTATACATCGGTGAAACAAAAAGAAAATTAGAAACAAGACTAAAAGAACACATCGCAGACCTGAAGTATAACAGAATCAACTCAGTTTTTTACGAACACTGCACGACCCACAACTGCAAAATAGATAAAAAGGATGCAACAATAGTACACAAAGAAAAAAATTGGTACAAAAGGAAATTCAAAGAAAGCTACGAAATTACCATAGACAAAAATAATATTAACAAGAACCTTAGCATCGACATCCATAAAAACTGGCTTCAATTATTAAAATAAAATAGAATGTTTATACAGTCGCAGGCGAGGCTGTGTGCAACACTCGGAGAAGGGTAATGTTACAAATTACGAGGCATGCGGGGGAGTCCGTCAAGTCGGGAAAAAAGAGGGGAGGGGAAGGGAGCGGGAAGTACGGACACACAAGTCACAACTATCGACGTAACAGACTGAAGAGGGGCGAAAGCCCGAAACGCGTTTCTGTAAGAAGTAAATGTAGGTGATGGAATTATTTGCCAAGTGTCTATAAATGCACCAAGTCGTGACATAGAATCAGAAGAAACAAGAAAAAGAAGACACGGTTTCGACAAATAACTAAAACAGATTTTTCTTTTTAAACTAAATACAAGAACGATTAAATGTTAAAAATCGTAAGAATTAACACCAAATTGATATAAATAATCTTTACAACGAGTGCAAAATTCTTATCTATAGATATTGTCATTAATGCATCTAAAAATATAAGCAATAGCAATGAATAAAGTAGGAATTGTTTACATTTTGAAAGTAACCACATAGTTTTACATTATATATATAACACATTGAAATATATAATTATAAAATATGTTACAATTAATTATAATAATATGATAATAATTAAGCTAATTATATATATGAGACTTCCTAAGTAATGCCTCCATATTTATGTACAAGCTCTACAGTAAGATATCAAACTGAACAAAGTTCAATATTTCTAATTTTTAATTAACGCATTTCATTTCTCTAGATAGTCTCTTTCGTGTTCGATACTCTAATGTTTCAGGTACTCTAATGTTTAACCAGTTTTCAAACTCATCTCTGTAGAAATCTTCAGGTTGTTCTCTAAACCATTTCCTCGTGGCGGCTTGAATATCGTCACAGACGAAATCAATTCCTTTGAGACGTCTCTTCAGAATAGAAATCGACCAAAAGTCTGAAGGTGCCAAATCTAGGCTGTAAGGAGGACTGTCAAGAACTTCAAACACCAGTTTCTGTATGGCTTCTGACATGAAAGCAGTAGGTAGTTCTAGAGTAGTCATGTTGAGAAATCATTAGCTTTGTCCACAGTTCCAGCATCGTAAACTGTTACTAATCTTGCATGAAATTTTTGGGAGACTCATTTCCATGTCTGGTCGTTGTTTGACACTCAGTTGATAAAGTATTATGCATTTTAAATACAATTAAATTTGAACCACAATTGTTTTGCTTTCGTTCATAACTGCTAACTGCTTGCTAGGCAACAATCTCTGTAATGTTTCCACTTGCATGGAAGCATTACTTATTAAAAGGCAAACATTTTCGAAAATAGGTCAAAATTAAATTAGAAATTTATTAAATCCATATTGCGGATCAAATATTTAATTTGAGTAATTAAAAAATAACAAAATAATGCTTACAAATTTTACTTTATAACTTTTTAATTCTCTCTGCTCTTTTATCTTCCTGGATACCTGTTTGACCCGTGGCAAAGTGACTCCACTCTGTTCTTGTGATTGACAATCACAACAGTAAAGAGAGGAAAAAATACACTAGTCTGAAATATATGTAAGTGTATAAAACTGAGAATCGTTCAAATGGGAGATTTTAGACTTTAACTCCCATAGGCTTCAGCCAGGACCAGTGAAAAACGACTCATAAGTGAGAAATCAGTGAACTTTAAAACAGAAATAAACATTTTGTTTAATGGAAAGACTTTTGTTGTTTACTTGTTATAATTTTTCTATCTTAGTTTATAATTAGTGGCTTTTAAGACTTGTCACATTTTCAGAACCCTGTTTGCACATTGCATATGAAGTTCGTGGTTACAGGTATATAAATTGTTTATAATTAGATAAGGAAACAATTACTATTTCTTTCAACTTATTTGCAATGATAATTATTAAGTTTCTTCTAGCCTGGAAATTCTATAATCAGAACAAAAATCTTTTTCATTATTGCTTCAGCCAGCATTACCATTCATTTCTTGCAATATCCTCTTACAAATCGGCTACTTAGCTGCTGCCATTTAGTCTTCGGTCCAGAAACCGAATTCATCATTATAGAAATCTTTTTTTCTAACTTATACTGTCAAATGTTACTTCCAGTGCGAATTATTTTTTCGGAGAAAATATTATCTTGTAAGCCTGACTAAAATAACCACTCTTGACAATTAATAAATTAAAAAATTAAATTTAATTACTTTTAAATCTAATCAATTGTATTAATTATATAATTTTTTAAATTTTTAAAATGTTTTAATCGTTTTTTCCATTCTTTTTTACAAAATTTTTAATGAATTTTTACTAAACGACAATAGTATTTATACTAAATAATGGATTTAGTATTTTGATTTGTAAAATTATAATGTCAAAAATTACAATGTAAACTTCTATACTAATTCAAGTTTGCAAAAGAAGCTGATTATCATCTATTAATCCTCGATTATTATCGACATTAATTAAACGAAAAAAGTATAGAAATTAAGCTACTTATCACGATTCTTCTTTCTAGTGTCGCGAGGAAGAAATGTCAAAAGAAAACTCGATCTTGAAGCAACACAATCCAAAAAGTGATATTCTTGTAAAATATCTGAAATGAAATTTTCATAAAATAAAAGATGATAATTTGCAAGAATGAATATTATCAGAATTTAGGACTTTAAAGATTTATATGGAAAAAAATAAATATGATTCTTGGGAAATAAATAAAAGTGTAAGAAGATAAAAGAAGTTTGTTTATTAAAAGTTACTTTTCTGCGATTTAAATATGATAATTGATTGTGATCAAATTATAAATCGTGATGTAATTATAAATCGAATTATAAAAGCTATTAATAATATTCCTTTCACTGTTTTATATAACTTTAATAATAGTAGGCCTATCTGTTTAGGACAATGCTTATATTACCTTAATTTAACACAGTCCTGATTTCTGTATCGATCATATATACATACTTCGTTAAGAAATGGCTTTTTTATACTTAAGAGGATAGTTTATGTCCTATTGTTATTCAAACATATTAGATTCCAGAATTAATTTCTGTATTTAAGTTATTACAAAATTATCACACGATTATTTTAATAATTTGAGTATAAGCATCTAATTTACGCCTATATCTAACTAAAATTTATTTATAAATTAACTTAATTAATTTAATTTGTATGAGTCGAGGCTTTATCCGAATTTATACAATTTTAGAATCACGTAAACAAAAGCAAATAATTAATTACTTTTAACACATGTAACCAAATCAAAATTCTGAGGAAGGTTTCGAAATAAAGAGAAAAACAATCAAAATTTTCAGAAAGACCTTCTCTTCATTTTTGGCAACAAACAATAAAATAAAGAACAATTGAAAACTATTGTTAATGATGTATGACGTCGTAACAAATGCATCACTTATTACGTCGAAAATTTTATGTTAAACAATTTAAATCATTACTATAAATGGCCAATATTTCGTTTTAATTTTAAATTTCGTATAATTCGGAAATAAGTAAAAATCGGATGTGAAATACGATGGATTATTTCTCAACAGAAAATTATCTTCTATTAAAAAGACTTTATGTTTGAAAACGATTTTTATATTATAGGTAATTTATTATTTTCTAACAAAATCATTGGTATATAAAGTATTTTACATAAGCATTGTGGATTCGGCTAGGCCCATAATAGTACCGTGAGATAGGGACTAAATTATCCTAAATCGTCTCACCAAAATTTTTTGGGGTTGCTTTTTTTTAGACTTGATAGCGGATACCCAGAGTGATAAATTAAAGAATTCCGTGAACTTTAAGTGTAAAAAAGAACAAATATATTAATATATTTAAATAAAATATTTGAATATATTTTAGATGTGTTTAAAATTAAAAAAAAAGTGATTTATCGTTCAAATTACACATGGAAACATTAAAGTAAATTTATTCTGCTCTTCGAGATCAATGACTAAAATGGCAAATACGCTCAATTTGGCAATACAAATATCACAATAAATGTGAGAAAAATATTAAAAATAAATTTTAAATTTAATTAATACCTTGAGAAATATAAAAAGAAGACAAGAAAATAAATAAAGATGAAGTTGTATCAGTAAAAATAAAATAAATTAATGCAATTATCCGAAACGAAAATAATATCCAAACGTTCAATTTAAGAATAAATAGACGATGGGGAAACATTTGTAACAAAATACTTGATAATCAGATACCGTTATTCATTATTTAACATAACACAAACATTTCTACAAATGATTGCAATTATTGTTTGTACTCCTTAGCCTATATATTTATAAATAGGATAAAGAAATCACCCATTTAACTGTAGATAAGAAATAGCTGAAGAAAAATTGTAAAGGTAAATATTAGACAATGCAAAATATTTATATATTTTCTTTTTAATGAGAAAACTGAAGTCAGAAAGAGGCGAAAGAAAATTGTATTTACGCCAAGAATCTTGTAAAGGCTCATAGTGCAGAAGTAGAAAATGAAAATTATAAGAAACGATGATATGTTAAAACACAGTAGGGCATAGGCAAAAGAGTAAGAAATTACAAATCGTACCTATAATATTTCATTAAACTAGCCATTTTCTCACATCTACATAATAAAGCAACATTGGCATTATGTTGATTAACTGGCTAACTCACTGACAAAATATGTTTGTGTAGAAGCAGACTCGAAGATAAATAAAATAATGCATTTGAGTATATATATTACCAGAAAAATCTGAAATATCAAAAAACTCAAATTTTTTAGGTTTTACGAGACGTCAGTTTTACGCCTCAGAATGTCACTAAGTTCGTTAAACGATTAAATTATGTGTCGTTTTTAATTTTATATTCCATGCTGTTATATATAGGGGAAACCGGGGCAAGATCGGCATGTTAAGCTTTACTTAAATTTTGTGTAATAAATACTGCTGTAAACTGAAAAAAAAGCTTTGCATATTGTCTATTGGAATGTTACCTTACTATAGAACTGGTTAAAATCAGTTTGGAAATAAAAATAATTAAAATAATTACAACTTTACAAGAAGAGAGAAATTGACGAAGTTGCCCCGGGTATAGGGGCAAGATCGGCAACTTCTCTCTTTTTGTAAAGTTGTAATTATTTTAATTATTTTTATTAAAGTTGCCCCTGGTATAGGGGCAACAGTAATGGGGCAAGATAGGCACGTATATAAAATTATGTTATTAACAATGTATAAGTTGGAATTCACTATTAAAACAAAGAAATACAAATCCAACACCCATTTAATATTATTACAACGAAATGCAAGTTCAAAGACATATATACATGAATAACAAATGCAAACATGTTTTCATTTATCATCTGTTTGATTTTTATCCTTTGCTTCTAATGTGGCTTTATGTTGCCGATCTTACCCCGCTAGTCATGATTTCGAAACATTAAGTACAACCCTGAGAACAGAATGCCAAGCCACGATCTGGCCACGTGAATAAGTTGAAGTTACATCCTTCTAACAGGAAAAGTAACTTTCGTTATCATGGAATTATAACAAAACCTGCCAATTCAATATAAATGGAAAAAAAATATTATATGGAATTGAACGAAAATGAAAATTTGCTTGATAATTCAACTACGCTTGTTGGAGAACAATAAAAACACTACACTCAACAAGCCACCAATAAAACTCAACTGCCTAACCTATAACCAAATTCTCCTTTTAATTTGTTTTTAAAAAAAAGTGCTTGACAAACTTGCCCCGCATGCCGAAGTTGCCCCGGTCTCCCCTACATAACAAGGAAAGTATTGGAATCGTGTCAAGTTTGACCTTCCGAGTTTTTTTGCAAATCTTCACGTTTTGAGATCTCCAGAACCCAAAGAAGACAAACTAAAGGCAAAAAATAAAATGTGTGTTGTCGTCTATTTCGCTTAATATCTCAGGACGAGCTGAAGATAAAGAAACAAAATTTGGCACGGTAGCTTGTATATAAGAGGAATTGATAAAATACTATTAAATGTTAGTTGCGATAGTCACGTGTCACATTTTTCAATGGGTCAAACGTAATAAAAATTGTACTTCTGGTTAGTATTTACATCTTTCTTTTTTTTTAAATAAATAAATAAATAAAACTCATTTCTACCTTCAAAATTAAGCGTTTTTCCATTTTATAAAATATAAAAAGTTTTTATAACAAAATATCCTAAAATATGGCACCATATACAATTTTATTCATTTATTACCATTAATAATATAAAAGTTATTTTTTAAATAAAATCCCGGAAAGTTACTAATGCGTTGGTAGATTTTTCTCATTTTTATTAATTTGTTTTGAATTGTTTTAAATATCAGCATTTTCATTTTGTATTATCGTCAACTATTCTTCATTTTCTTTTTTACAGCACCCAAAACAGCGCAGTTGCTTCTTGGCAAATTCTCCTTTTAAAATATTTTTAAATTTTAATATGTATCATTTAAAATGAATAATTCTCTATTTGTGATTATGATGGATTCATATTCAAGAACGTCGTTTTATCGTGCAGCATTAGATTCGAAATGCATTTCAATAAAACTTATATCAACTGCCCCTTATATGGTATGTTACTGAGAAAAAGCCAATAGCTTTTAATTCTTTAAAATCCACCAGAAAAAATATAATTACAAAATATAAACTTTAGTTCATAAGTCATACATTACGAATTTAGGCTTTATATTCTTCATCAAAATAAAAGCATGGGGAAAAAAAACAAAAAAAAAATTATCAGATCATTTTTATAAAATTTTAAAACAATTTTATTGATATATCTCAATACTTAATACAGTCAATATGGGTATGGATATGGCCGTCGGTTATAATTTGTTATTGGTGGTGCTCTAAAGCGAATAAATACGTCCGATATGCCACTGCCATTTGCGTGTCCTGTAAAGATATCAAGAACAATTCAGTTAATTGACACAAAATAATAATGTAGAAATTACAATAATTTTAGCATACGTCGATGAATTCTAGGCTCAATAGACTCGTAATAAGACTGATACTCCGGTAAATATGCTTGTGTAGTTATACCAAGAGATGACAAGCAAAGTACAACTAAAAGCAAATATCTGTAGTCCATCCTGTAAAGAAATTTATTATATGTTAAATTACGCAATATTTAATGCAGATGATAGAGACTTTAGTAAAAATGTCTAAAATTAATAGTCGTTTAATCGAACTTAAACTATTCAAAGATATTACATTATCTATCTTTAAGCAAACTATAGTAATAAATTTATTTATATGTGATCTTTACACGTAAAAATTACGAAAAAAGCTTATTTTTTTAACTTTAAAATCTGACGTAAAGTAAATATTTACTGTTGCATCTTTGAAGACCACTTAACACAAACCTAGGGTTTGTGCTAAGTGTAGTAAAGTATTAAGTAAAATATTAGGGTAACCAGATTTTTTTTCCAGCAAATCCGGGGACATATATCATCGTCACTTTTTAGGGTGCACAGTAGCAGCCTACGTATATAAGTACTATCAAATGGATACTGTACATATATTAATTTAAGGGTCGGGTAGCCGAGCGGTCAAGGTGGTAATCTACCAAACGAATCTGGACGGGTAAAAAAAGCCCCATGAATTTTTCAGATTGTGGTCTATCCGGATATGTCGGATTCCTGTCCTTTAACATCCAGGCGTGGGTCTGGCGAATCTATATTGTTAAAAAAATGGCCCTCTTAGTGCTCACAGGAAGGGAAAGAGTTTTAAAAAAGTGTGGTACTGCACATACGCATGACTGAGACCTAAACATTTTAATTTTGATTGAGTTTATTGGCTTCAATCAAATAGCTTTCCTCTAATAAGATCTATAGCTATTTACTTTTGGCACTTTTTTAGCTATATTTTTGTCCGCGTTTCAAAATTTGGCTTCCTTTTGACATTTCCTCAAAAATTTGGCTTCGTATTTCTGATTACAGTACTTTACTTATTTGATTGCTTCTTTAAAAATTACCTGGCCAAATTGGACACGTCCTCTGGCAGAAAAACTGGCAGCGACAATATTACAAGGGAACTTATAAATAGGGACAAACCGGAGACGCTTTCTTGCCAGGACAGAGGGTCAAAAACGGAAATGTCCCGGAAATCCTAACTATATATTCCCAACCCATATATTCCTATCATTATCTTTAGGCTTTATTTATAAGACTGACGTAGTTACTTCTGTAGATAAAATTTGTAAAAATTTGTATCCGAGAACACCACCCAGAAGAGAGATAGGAAGAGTTTGTTGCTCGGTTTGTGTTAAATCGTCGTCAAGTGTGACACTGTTAATTATGTTTATGAGAAGTTTTAAATAACGCTACTCATTTACCTACCAATATTAATTTTTACAACATTAAAATTGAATTCTCTTAAAGTATATTTGAAAAATATTAACTAAAACTTTTAGAAATATTTTAAAAATATTACAAAACTCTTTAAATTCTGTTAAGATCATAATTTAAAATACTTCTTTGATTATAGATCATGCCAAAGTATCTGCGGTAATTAAATAATGTTTTTTTTTTTTTTTAAATAAATACAGCTTTCAAAATATAAAAATTATATAATTTTTGAAAATTGAATTAGTCGTGTGCTGTAAAAATATTTATCACTCAATTAATGTTGTAAATTACATTATCAAGGAGTCTCTCTTGTTAGATATGCTTATTATATTTGGCAATAATTACAACTTTGTACAGTGTATAATGGCTGTACTGTAGACAAAAATAATTATAAACTTACAAAGTAATATAATAATTACTGAAAGTTATAAAATAAAGTTTTACTTACTTATTTTTTCTTCATTAACCAATTCGCAGTTTTCTGAGGAGAAATCTTCCTCTTATATAGGCTACTTTATTAACTATATGCGTAGACACAATATATTTAATATTGATTAACTTTAAACATAAATTTAAAAACATATTTATCATATTGACGTTTATAAGAATTTTTATCTTGATAAAGTTAACCTTTATTCCATTTTTATAATATAAATTCTAAGAAAAAAAAACATTTATTTTAATATAACATTATTTATCATGACAAAATTAACCTTTATCCGATTTTTATTATATAAATTCTACAAAGCAAAAGTATTTATTAAATTGTAAAGCATAGTCTTACGTAATTCTTATTTTAAATAACAATAAGAATTATTTAGGTCTATGCTTTCGCTTTATTGAATGTATATTAAATTAAAAAGATTGGATAAATGTTAATTTCGTTAAAAAATAAATATTCCTATAAATGTCAATATAATAAATGTTATTTAGATTTATGTTTAAAGTTAATGAAAATTAAATATGTTGTGTAGGCGAGCATATAGTTTAATAAAGTAGACTTGCATAGCCTATATAAGAGAGAGATTTCGCCTCAGAAAACTGCGAATTGGTTAGTGAAGACAAAATAAGTAAGTAAGAACTTATTTATTTATAATTTCCAACAATAATTTTTATAATACTTTGTAAGTTTATAATTTTTGTCTACACAGTACATAATAATCATCTTTACATTTTAAACAGGATGGACTATAGATATTTGCTTTTAGTTGTACTTTGCTTGTCAGTTCTCAGTATAACTACACAAGCATATTATTCACCGGAATCTTATTACAATCCTATTGATCCAAGAGCTTATCGACGTATGCTAAAATTCCCGTAATTTCTACATTATTATTTTGTGTCAATTAACTGAATTGTTGATATCTTTACAGATTACGCAAATAGCAGTGGAGTAGCGGACGTATTTATTCGCTTTAGAGTACCACCGAAGAGAAATTATAATCGACGGTCATATCAATACCCATATTGACTGTATTAAATATTGAAATATATTAATAAAATTGTTTTGAAATTTTATAAAAGTATTCTAATAAATGTTTTTTCATCTTTATTTTTTCCTTTTATGCTTCGTTTCATTCAAGAACTTAAAACTAAATTTGTAATGTATTGATATTTATTTTGTAGTATTTTTTTTTTCTTTTGACGCTTTTCATTTTAGTTCAAATAGGCCCTTCCATTTCCTCTGTTTTCTATCTGCTTTTAGTCAGTTTCTTCGAAGTCAGCAGGGCACACGAGGTTGATCCCCTAAGAAACTGGCTCACACCTCTTTATCATCCTGACTTGGGTGGGAAGGTTATTAATCTTTCTCAGAAAAGTCATTACTGATCATTACCAGAGCAGTAGTAAAAAACTAAAAATGAAGTCGCAAACACTGACACAAGAGTATATAAACCTACTTTAAAATTTATATACTGTATTTACATATTTTTTGCCTTTATTAATCTTATTTATTGTAAAGGTATTGATGATCACAAGGTTACAACGTAGAGATCACAACGTAGAGATGATACAATAATAAATAGAATTATAATAAACAATAATAAGATGGAGGTATTCATAGTTTCCCGCGGGACGTTGGTTTTCCTCATGATGATATTTTACTTTTCCTGTTGCTAAAAGAGAAAAAGAAGTGATTTCACAAGTTGAATGAAAAGAGATCCGAATATGTGAATTTCAACATTCGATGCACGGCTATAGTAAGCACGAAGCCAAATTTAAAGAATATTATCGTTTGAATGTATCTCAATCTGACAGTATTCTTCGGTAGAGATGTAAAGACACTGATATTTTCACATTTCTTCTATTAAAGCTTGCTACATATGGAAATAGAAGACTCACGTATCAATGGAACTGGTATAGAAACACACGAGAATGTTTCCCTCACGTATGTATCGTACGTGCATAGAGTACATAGCAGTCTGTGTGGCTGAGGTTTAACAGTGCAAAAATTTAAAATACTCTTGTTAATATCTGCAACTTTATTCCATTTATTCACAAGAGTGTTCCATTAAATCGAAGCCAACAAGTTATTTACTGAAATGTTTTCGCTGTTTAAGTAGTTTCCGTAATTTTTGAAATAATTCGCTTACGTTTTGAAATTTAACCGCAATTGATGACACCTCTTTTCTAATTTTGTGTGCTACTTAATAAATATATATATTTTTTTAATTTTAAAAAAATTTAAACAATTTCTTGTAACGTTTTCGTTATTTTCTACGAATACTTCGTCTTTAGCTTTAATAGTACGAAAGATTGTAATAACTTATTTTTCAATAATGTTATAAATTTCAATACAGGATGATCTATTTTAATGAATCCACTGAAATAACTCGAAAAGTAAAAATCCTACGAAATAATTCATTACATCTGATTCTTTAGAATTTAAAAATACCGCATAATGGCGCTATCGGTTTCTTCGTGGTTGGCGCTACAATCGCTGAAAAAGAGGTTTATATCTTTTTTTTAATATGAGAATCCCCGTTTTTTATTGCATATTATTATTCCACAAAGAGAAATAAATAAGCTTTTATCCAAAGCATTTTTTCCCGAAAGACTTATTAGAAGTTATGACCGTTTGAAGTTTCGCGTGTCTACCAGAGAGCACGCATGAGTCTGTAGATCGTTAAAAAATATTATTTGATAAAATCAACATAATCGTTTTGTTTTTACCACAAGCTTAATGAAGCTTTAACACACTGGCATGTGCTTTTTTTAAGTTGATTATTTGAAAAAGAAAAAGAATGGTTTTCATGGAATAGTTTCTTAGCGATTTTTTAAGGGTTTTTATAAATCTTTTTTTTCAGTAGATTTTACAGATATCTCAGATGCTCCGGTACGTACCTCTATAAAATGGTGCCGTGGCGATGCTTTATAACTAAATGGTGCCACTCGAGTAATCTCATATATATTCAAATTTAATAAATTGACTGTATTAATATTTTAAACGAGGAAATCTAATAATGATAATTAAATGTGAAAATATAATACGACGATGGTGAAATCTTAATCAAGATAGTGGTCTTGAATTGAAAAAAAAATGTCATGACGAATAAGATTCAAGTTCTAGACCCTATATAAATTACATGATAATTAATAGTTATTGAATTATTTTTATTTTCGTGTTTTGTCTGTCTTGGCATGTCTCCGTGTGCATACTTATTTTCTTTTATAGAGTATGAAATTATCGTAATTGTTAGCCATTTGAAATTTTGTCGATTTAAGCAGTCGAAAAATATTAAGTGATATAAAATTGTCATAGTTAAGGGGCCTTTTCTCGATTGTGTACTGTTTACAAAAATAACTTACTTCATATGGTATGAATAATTTATATTACAATAGAATTTTCATATTCACAGCGATTACATTCTATTGTAAATATGAAAAGAACTAATACATTTGACGGCCGGATGGCCGAATGTACAATACAATGTTGCAGCCTACCACTCGAATCCGAACAGCTCAAAAAACCTCCAGGAAATTTTCGGGGTGTTGTCCATCTGGATATGTCGGACTTCGTCATAATTTTGACATTAAATTCAGATGGTTAACATTTATTCTACTTTTTTCGATGTTTAGATATTTGATCTTTGCAATTTTTGCTTGTTGGGAGAAATATACTACTGCTCTTCTAATCTTTACCACCCCTTTTTTTTCTTTAATGCGTGATTTATTTATTTACGAGAAAAGAACGAGAAACTATACATACTGATTCTTTTTCGTGCAAACAGTCAAGCAGTTTAATTTTGTTTCTGAGAGACTTCACTTTCTTTGTTCTTTTTGATATTTTGTCACTTGAATATTTTTTGTTTAGACAGAGTAGATTATTTATAACGTGAAAAGAAAACTAATTAAAATCTTATTGTAAAATATATTCAAAATGAACACTAACATAAAACACGGATGCACGTGCTACTATAACTCGAGAAACTGCGAAATAATATACACCAGAATAGTATAATAACTGTCAAAATGAATTTCAATAGAACAGTTAAGATAAAAGCATTAAACATTATTTAATTGTGTCTTTGTCGAATATTTCATGCTCGATTTCGCTTATTCTTTTTCGAACATGAAAAATAAGTTAATAACACGTACTGTATAAATCGCGATTATGTGAACTGCTCAAATAAGAGGTTCTATTGACTTTTATAACTATTTAAAACGGGTTTTTTAATTAAGGTTCTGTTGTATCTCTAGACTCTATATAATATTTAGTAAGAATTAAATTAATTCATTTTCTATTAAAGAGGAAAAGATAAAAATTACTAGTCTCACCTACAGTCGCATATTATTATGTGAGAAATTAAATGAAATTTATAAAATATCCGTTAATTAAAACCTTATTATCAAATTTTTGTATTAAAAACGTAACATCATAGTTTTTTTTCAATTATTAAATATAATAATTTAAATCGTAAATTGATAATAAGTTAAAGTGTATAAGCAATTAAATAAAACAAAACGAATTTATTTTATTCGTAATGAATTTTTCAATTATTTTATTCAAAAATTTATTTCCGTTATTTACATATTTGATAATACTTTTAAAGTGTTTTTTTTTTTGTTATCTAATGTAACATCATTTATCTTTCTTATAAGATCTTATTGCGTCATCTAGCGTATCATGCCATAAAATGTCCTTTGTTTAACGGCAAATACAGTTTTCTTCCATTTCTTTTTGACTTCAGTTTTCTCATTAATTAAAAGAAAAAAATTATTAAATATTTTTTCCTCTATAAACTTTCAGGTAAGTTTGAGAATTTCGCAAATCTAACATCTAATAGATTTGAATGTTAGATTTATTGTTTTGAAATTCTCAAACTCACCTGAAAGTTTATAGAAAAGAAAAAAAAGAAAGAATTTCAGCACTCCTTATTCACATTATTAAATATTTTTTATTGTCTATTTACGTTTACAAGTTTTCGTAATCCATTTGTTATCTATATTTAAATCGTTTTCATTAACTTACAAATAAATACAGGGTGATCATAAAGTTGTCCTATTAAGACAACACTGTAGCTCTAACCAATAAGTTGATTGACACCAAAATTTATGTACTGTACACGTTATTCAAAAGACGCAAAAAAAGATTTTGCAAGGAAAAATTTTAGTTCAAAATTGTTCGCTACAGGATAAATGGCGCTGCAAGCAAAGAAATGTCAAATCGTGGAACGTGAAGTGTTTCAATATTGGTAGACTTAGAGGACAGTATTGAATTACATATATAGGCATCATGGGGCACAGTTGCGATCAACTTTTGAATACACTGTGTATCGTCTTAAAATTTCACACCTAAATTTTGGGGAACACATTGAATAACATTCCCTGCATTGTTACCAGCGGGCACCTGTACATTGAGGCACTTCGGGCACGTTTCCCCTTTGCCACCGGGTTGCCTTTTTCTTAATCCCCAAGAGAGCTTTTAGGTTTCATTTAATTTTTAAATTAATTACTCATTTTTATCACAGAAAACGTTTTTACTGGTGACAAAATTAAAATAAATATGTGCTATTAACCGAAAATTTGTTCTAGAGGGTCGTGATTGTTCGATTGAGTATCGAGGTACTACTATTCAGAGGCCAGACTTCTGAAGGGCCCCGCAAAACCTCAACTTTACACTTTTTTATAATAAAACCAAGTCTGGTTTTATATGTGCAATTTTAATTAATTACGTACAAGTTTACAATCGGAGGTAAAATTTGAATATATATTATATCATATTCAAATTTTATTGGAAATAAAACATTAATAATGCATAATATTTATTAATTTAAAAATATGGTTAACATGCATTTTTATTTTCCCTGTCTCTCTTTCTTTAAGGGGCCCAATATTTTTTTTGCGCCCGGGGCCTCAACCGACCTTAATCCGCCTCTGACTGTATTTGATTAACGCGATTTTGATATACGCTGTAGCATCGAGGAATTAATTAACTGCGTTAATCCAGGGATACCTGTATATATTTATAAGTATCTTCATGGATGTACAGTACGCTCGATGCCCTTTTTCATAGCTTG